AACCGAGCGGGGGCGAGCCGAGCCGAGCCGAACCGAACCGAGCGGTGGAGCCGGGCCCGCGGAGGCAGCGGCGAGCATCCCGCCTGGTGGGACGCTATCCCTGGCGCTGATGCCACAGGAGTTGCCGGAGCTGCCCCCGGAGCTGCTCCCGGTGCACCAGCTGGCCCTCCCTGCCTCCTTTCCGCCCCACAAGGGAGAGCGAGAGCAGGTGGCTGGACTCTCGGGGCTCATGGGGCTGGGGGGCAGTGGTGGTGATATCTCAGGGGCTTCCTGGGCTCCATCGGGCAGGCAGCACCTCCACTCTGTGCCAGCTGGGCAGCCTTCAGAGCTGCTGCTGCAGCCCAGCCAGCACCAGGGACCTCCAAAGGGCTGAGCTGGTAGGAGATCTCAGACCTTCCATCTTCAGTGCCCACCCCACACTTAACTCCTGCCCATTCCTTCGAGGTCAGGCCAGAAAAATCAGTAGCTAGAGCCGCCCAGCTGGTTAAGAGCAGGACGTGGGTGCTCAAGGGAGCTGTTCCCATGAAGAAGCAAAGGGCTGGGCATCCTTGCAGAAGGCATGAGAATCGATGCGTAATTTAGTTAGGCTTGACTGAGTAGGAGATGCGGCCAGTGGAGAGGGGAAATTTTCCACTCTGTCCTGACTGCTTGGCACAGTGATCGCTGGGCAAAACTGGTGAGGGAGGGGGCATGCGTGCCCAGTCCATCAGACATCCTGGGCTGCCCCGGAGACCAGCCATGGGAGACACAGGGGCAGGGCAACGTATTGCTCCCAGGGGAAACAGGCAAAAAAAAATAGCCCAGGGCATTAGATTGAGCAAGGGTTCCTGAGATTATAGCTCAGAGGTGGAAGCCAGGGCTTTCTTCCCACATATTGCTAATAATTTACCCAGCACTCTGAGCGTCTGAGCCCTGCCGTTGTGCCTCCAAGCTGGAAGGTGGGGGCCCATCCTACCTTCCTCCCCCGGGGACCCGACTGCATTGTCAGTCTTAATTCATTAACATCTGTGAAGTGCTCCGGCTCCTAGGCTGGAAGGCAGCACAGATTTGGCTCACTCCTGCAATCACTAAGCAGCACCAGGGAGAAATGGGGTCTGATCTGGCCCTACTGTATTGTTACCAGCCAGCAAAGCACAAGGTTAAGCTAAAAGAGTAAGGAAGATGGAGAAGAGCTAAGGCTCTGCGAAGCGATCAGTCATGTAAAGGTCAAGTCCACATCTGAAATAGACAACCAGCAACAGTGAGTGAAATCCCAGGGGGCTTGGGCTAAAATCACACTGACAAGAGAAGAGCAACCTCTCAAGAGCTAACCAAAATACCACCAGCTCCAGGATGTCCCGCTTCACCTCCTTCCCTGCAGGGTGGACAACTGCCTTCATTTGGCCACAGGAGTTCGGGTCCAAGCCTGCAGATGTGGGCATCCTCGGGCACGGCATTATATGGGTTCTTATATTCCCAGCATGGCTCCCTGCCCCGGTGGGGAGGACACCCAAGTCGGAGAGCTGGGCAGCCCTGCCTGCGGAGTACGATTCTCCAGGGGAGCTTTCAGAGCCAGAGGAAAAGGTTTCCAGCAGCAGCAGCTGAGTGCCAGTAAGGCATCGCTGCCTTAGCTCCAGCAGTAGCGCTGAGCAGGGCACAGTGAGGCGCTGCCAGTGAGGGGGACGTGGTGCTCAGCTGTGAAAGCACAAGCTTTGAAGTGTTTTTGTTTCTTCTGCATAAAACTGGGATTGTTTACATGTATTATCTAGTAGTAGATAAAGTTCTCATCTGACTCAAGCTGCCACCCGCTCTCAGGCATCGTGCTGTGTTTGTCTTGGGACTCCCCACAGCCAGAGACAAGGGGAGCTCCCAGGCTCCCCGTGGGTCTATTCCTGATGCTGTCACCAGAGTCACAAGGGATGATGACCTTGTGTCCCCTGCAGCCACCTAGGTCCTGCCCTGTTGTCCTTTGTTTCCCTGGAGGCGAGTGCTGTGGGTGGGGGCCACCTCAAGACCTCCAGCTCTGAAGCCTGTGGGGCAGCAGCCTGCGCTGTCTCCCCAGGCAAGCTTGAAAGAGCCCCTAGGATCCTTCTTCTGTGCTGTTGGAGCTGCCCAAGACCCAGGCTTGAGCTTTGGGAAGCTCCTCTGAAGCCTGCCAGCCCTTCTCCTCCCCTGCTGCCCTTAAGAAACGCATGTGCTCCCGGAGGGCTAAAATTAGCCAGCCAGCTGTGCAGCACACTCGCACAGGAGCCTCAGTCCCCAGGCACGGCCTGCCAGCCAGGTCTGCCGAGGAGGCGGCATCCTACCCAGGGTAACAGGACTAGCGCAGGTTGCCGCAGGGAGGGCAGTGGGAGAGGCTTTCCCCATTTCTCTGCCCCCTGAGGCTGTGTGGGGACCCAAGCACCAAGCAGCCGAAAGCAGTGGGTCAGAAGGCAGAGGGTGTCTTCTCTGGCTGAGCCTGGCAAAGGCTGCCCAGAAGAGGCACAACCCCTTCAGGCACCTTTCCTCACCGGGCCCTTCCCCTGCGCAGGCCGACAGCGCTTTCCCCATCTCACCCGCCCGGGACCCCACTCCCCCTTGCATGGGCAGGGGCTCCCCGAAGCAGAGTGGTGCTTCAGGTGAGGAGCTGCAGCCTGCCCCACACGTGGTTCCTCGCACTGCCTTTCGCTCCCCCTCCCCAGCACGGCTCCCATACAGAGGCGGCTGAAAAGCGGCGGTGGGAAGCACCGCAGCTGCAGAGGGAACAGGCCATTTTTAGCAGAGCAGCCTCCCCGCTGCTGGGCTGCGGGCAGAGCTGCGCGGGGCTGTGCTGCAGTGCTGCAGCCTCCCCCTGCTGCCTTACACCCAGCAAAAAACCCTAGTAAGCTGGCCCTGCATGTGCCCTCTTGCCTGCGATGCAGGCAGAGCAAGAGCAGTGAGAGCATCAGGGTCCCCAGGACAGTGAGAGCTGTCCTCCTGGGGGAACGGGGCAACCCATGTTCCCCTCAGCAAGGCAGGAGGAAAGCGGAGGGCCAAAGGACCACCACCGTTCCTGCATGAAGATGGACACATTCATTGCATCCCACATAGTCATCCATGTGATCCCACCCAAAGCTCTCACTTTTGCTCCTGCTGCTTGGCTGGCCAGGGAGAGCAACCGAATTTACCTTGAGCAGCTCCTTGGGGAAGTCAGTGCCTCCGTTGAGCCCTTCCAAGTTGCCAATGAAGTCAGAGCAGGACATTCTCTTCCCGATGTTCTGGGGGAGCCAGGGGGAGAGAAACGCGGGGGGTTACCTTTGGGCCAGAGGGCCGGTGCTGGCTGGAGCAGGTCCCACAGCCCAGGAACAGACCGCCCGTCTCTGCAGGGGGTGAGGGACCAGCCAGGTCTCAGGGAGGCTGCTTGAAGGTGCGGGGAAGCTGCCAGCTTTGCCTAAACTCTGGGAGTTTTAAATAGCCTCCTTTTTCTAAGTTGGGTGCTACCCACTCCCATGGCAGCTAGTTTTGGAGTCTCACTCCCACCCTCTCTCCCTGTCCACTTTCCTCTCTGTCCTCATCCCACCTCCACATCTTCCAGCTCAGCACATCTCCTCCAAAGCCCCACTCTCCTTCACCAGCTCCCTGTCTCAGCCTTTCTTCTCTCTCCTCCCCAGACACATTAGAGGTGACCAGCCCTCGCGGGTCCAGGGTCCCATACCTGCGGTTCAGGGTGGTGGGGACAGACAGTGCAGGGACAGACGGGCCCGATGGCAGTGGGAACTTACATGTCCATGCAGATCTGTGTTTAGCAGCATCAGGGCGCAGGTGAGTGTGTGGGCTCCGTCTGAAGCACAAGCACAGGACAGGAGTTAGAGCCCCTGGCTCGGCCCCGCAGCTGGTGCTCCAGCCCCTCAGCACGTCAGGCAGGGCATGGGGGCTCTGAGCCCCCAAGACAGCCCCGAGCCCGCTCCTCCCACCCCAGGCACGCGGGGCACACAGCAGTCAGCGTGGTGCTGGCAGCACGCGGGCGAGTAGGTAGGAGGCCACTGAATTAAAGCTGGTCCCAAACCTGAGCGTACAAACTCCATTCCAAGCCTGCAGCCCCTTCAGCCAGGCAGCGATGCTGCAGCTAATCCTGCAGAGCTCCTAGCACAGCAAGGTGGGACCGGCACAGCCCTCTGCCAGCCAGGCAGCCCAAACCTCACCTGCCCCAGAGCCAGCCCAGAGCAGACCCAGCATGTGAATGCACACAGGAGAGGCGCAAAGATGTGAAACAGTACAAAGTGGGTGTCTGTGCCGCCCCGGGTGCCAGGCACCCGAGTTTTCTCACCTGGCCACTCCCTGAGCCGAGGGTCTGAAAGCTGGGGTCTATTTGGTGAGGAGGGCCTTCTCTCGCCTCTTGTGCTAATCTGCTCAAGGTCAGAATTAAGGATGGGTTGAGCCCTAATTATGCATGATCCAACCAGAGCAGTTTGTTTTAAAAAAAAAAAAATCTAAAGCATCTGTCACTTGAAGGAAATGACATCTCCATAACTGGGGCTCTCTCCTAAGGCATCAGTACAGGCTCTCAGCCTGCTCTCTGGTTTCGGTTTGAGCACCTTCACCGAGTTGATGAACGCGTGGGCTCGCTTGAAACACACACACACGCATACACGGACACGCATGGTTTCTTACCCTCCGAAGAGATGGCGTTGGGATTACACTCGTAATAGCGCTGAGAAAAATGAGCCAGCACTCGCTCTCGCTCTTGTGTTTCTCCCATCAAGGCCAGCTCCTTTAGAAAGGACCTGAAGAAGCAGCAGCAGCAGCAGCATTGGTCACACCTGAAGGCCACCAGCAGCTTCTCCAACCCACCTTGCACAGGAGTGGAGCTGTGCTTTCTGGTCTGGAGACCCCCCTGTGTGCCAGATGAAGCCCGGCCATCGCGCATCCCCCCCAACCCACTGCAGGACTCCCCTCCAAGCCCACAGCATCATACCCTTCCGGCACATCGCAGAGACCTACAGCCAGCCCTGGGCACTACGCCGGGGAAGGAGGTGGGGGTGACGCCAAGAGGCTCTGGGCTTAAGGCCTGGAAAGCCTGTCCTAGGTGAACGTGGCTGTCACACAACTGCACTGACTGGTGAATTAAGACCAGGGATGCTCTTTTGCAGTTCTGTGGCTGAGAGACCAACCCCTGCCATATAAGAGGTAAGGGGATCTCCAAGTGGGAGCCGTAGGGTCCCAGATCCCTGTGCGGGTGCAGAGCTGTGGAGGGCATGGTCTGCTAGGACCCCACTTGGGTGGCCACCGCACACACACACATGTACACGCACTCAGCTCTGACCTGAGAGCCTGGTCCAGGCTCATCCCCGTGAACACGAAGAACTTCAGATATTCCCCTGCCACCATCTTGCTGAACTCGTTGCTGAAATAGAAAAGGGGGGAGCGAGAGTCGGATCGACCAGATCGTGTGGACAGCAAAAGGCACACAGGCGTGGGGTGGATTCCAGGAGGCTGAGAGCTCCCCAGGGCCGTGGGAAGCATGCTGGGGACAGAGACACCCCACACTCCAATGAAACTTAGAGGAGTCACGCACAGATGCAATGGAAATACTGGGCATGTAAGAGAAACTGGAGAAGCTAGAGCTGGAAGGGCCCATGAGAGGTCGGCTAGTCGTCCCCCTGCCCTGACACCTTACTGAAGCATCTACGATGCAGTCATAGCAGGAAGGTACCAAAACCTGCATGTCTCTTAGGTTTTAAGACCTTTAGAGGGAATACCTGGTACATCTGTGCCAGGTGTACCAGTCATGGGGAGTGGGCTCTGGGGTTCTGCCAGCTATTCTCTGCCAGCTTGGTGCCCTGCAAGGGCAGCAGCTGTGGGTACACCGCGGGTGCAGGTGGGGCCCTTGCAGAACCCGTTCCTTGCGAATACCCACACGTACTTCTTCCCCAAGTGACGGGCCACATCTGCTTTTTTAAAGCCATCCAGGTTGTAGAGCCTCTTGGCCAGGCGTTTGGCAGCCTCCAGGTCAGCCTTGTGCCCATTGGAGAGGGTGTCCGTGCTGCCCAGGGCCAGCTGCTCCACACTGTCCATCTCCGAGTCTGAGTCTGAAACCAGCTGGCTCAGCGGGTGGTCGCTGCAATGGGAAAGGACACTCCACGTTAGCCTGCCTACAGATCCTCTCCTCCTTCAGCTTCTCAAGAAACGCAGGTTCCTCACTCTGCTTTAGAGACCAGCTACTCACTGCTGGATGAACAACAGGATGAACAACACTGGTTAGAGCCACTCCGAGGTCAGGTCTGGGAGCTAAGGGAAGGTTTGGCAATGTGGCTGGAGGAGAGGTGCGGTGTCATCCAATGACTGATGACAGGACCAAGGCACCCAAACCCATGTCCAAACTGGATATGGAGAGACAGGACGACTGCTCCAGAGTCCCCCACCCTGAGCCTGTGAAACTGCATGTGTGGGCTCGGACTCTGCCAAGCTCAGCTGTAGCGGAGACTTGGAGCAGAAACATGTGCACATCACATGCTGTCCTACAAATCCGCACTCATTTTTTTAACCTGGACAAACTCCTCGTGCTGCTCTTGAGTGCAGTTTCTACCCAAGACAAGACGACTATAATTCCTTCGCTTGCCTCTTCCCACCCACCGACTTCAAAGCACTTCACAGAAGGGAAAACCGAGGCAGAGAGGGCGAAGACAAAGGAAAACCCCCCAGCCTCCCAGCTCACAGCGGGGTGTACTGTCTTCTTCAGGCTGCCCATCAGCTCTCAGCCCACCATGCCTTAAATGGCCACATTAGGAGACGCTCTTGGCTTAGCCCCCGAAGCAGTCTGACTCAGCGGTGCAGAAGTTATCCCAACCAAAAAAATGGTTGAATCTAATCAACAACAAACGTTAAGCAACTCTGACCTCGCCCAAACTTTCTGGCAGCCCTCGCAATGTTCCAGTCTGATTTATTTTTAAAAGTCTCTAATTGACTTTTAAGAGGCCTGCTCTCCTGAGCCAATTACCCAGGCCAATCTCCTTGAGGCTCCACTTCTTCCACGAAGGATGAGCCTCCCTGCTGCTCAGCACCGCCTGTCCCAGGGGAGCCCTGCGCAGCACTGACAGGCTGCCCCGTGCCTCGGGGGGCTCTTGGGCGCCTTCCTCCCGGCATCCCGGCATCCACAGCTGGCGCGCAGCAGGGGAAGCTGCTCTGTGCTCAAACCTGTGGGCCAGACACTTCCCTGGTGAAAGTGGCTCTGACACCCTGCGAGTCCCTGGGAAGATGCACTTGGCTTGAACCACCGCTGAGCTTGGCAGTGCCAGGCGGTGATTGTGGTAAGACCCGGCTGGGTGGCCCAGGGCAGAGTCGTGCCCATTTGGCCCCAGCCCTCTCCAGGGAGCCTGTCCATCACCCCGTGCCACCCTGGTGGAAGCAGCCACAAGAGTGGCCACAAGGTCACTTGGAGCTCACCAGCTCTGAGTCACCTGCTCTGGGGACCTGCGCTGGGCAGGAGACTTCCAGCATCACCAGCACACCCTGTCCTGTGGGCATCCCTCCCACCTGCCTAAAACCTCTTCTCCCAAAATAGGGTGGCTGCGTCCAAAGGTGCCGCTGGCGTGGGCTCTAGTGCCCGCTGTCCTCCAGCTGTGCCTGGCTGTGCTGCACTGGCTGGCAGGGCCAAAGCGCCCCAGGGAGTGCCCCACAGCAGAACTGGCTGGGTGCCAGCGCTGGGCACACACCTCGGCCCCGCTTTGGCTCCTTGTGCAGCTGCAGCCGCTGTGCCCTCAGCCAAGGACAGGGCTCACAAGTTCTTTGCTTCCCAGCAGCAGAGATGAATCCGTCCCATCCCTGGCACCTGCCAGCCATGGGTTGTGGTGACTGTACTGTGTTTTTCGCTAAAACTCTATCTGCTATCACAGGGGCGCAGGCACTGTCCCCTTCCCAGCCCAGCAGCTCCAAGGCTGTTTTTCCAGACACAGGCTGAGCTACAAAACTCAAAGCCACCCCTCCACCACTCCCCACCGCTCCAACTGCGCCTCCAGAGCAAGCGGCTGCTCAGTCACCCTCTGAAGACCTTTTCATTCTTCTCAACCACCATCATTAAAAACTCCCCATACCTTTCTGGACCTTGCCTGTCCTGCCCGAGAGGTGGTCCTCCCTCACATGGCCAGTTCCTGGAGCCTCCGGGGGCAAACCTAGAGCTCTGAGTCTCCTCCTGTGACCTCTCTTCCCAGTCTGTGGTCCTCAGCTTTCCTACCTAGTGCTGAGCATCCAGGCATGGGCCATTTACAAAACCTCTCTTGTCCTTCAACATCTGTATCTCCCTGCAGGCTCCCAACCTGTGGCTGCAATCCTTGCCTTGCTTCTTGCAATGCGCATGCAGGGATCACAGCCTGGGTCTCAAAGCAGCTCTACCAGCGGGATCTACTCTCCCCTCCTTCACCAAGTCCCCATATTGATTTGGGGTTTTACATCAGCAAAGTATAACCTTGCTCTCAGGATGAGGCACTACACAGCCGTGCCATGAAACGGGTTTTCTTCCAACACTCAAGGCACTCTCATGCTGTCAAATATGGACCATCAGCCTCGATAGGCTGGGAGTGCCCCATTCATGGCACCCGTCTGTCAGCACTCAAAGCCCCAGCTGGCTTGGAGAACGTGCAGCTTAAAGAGAGAAAACCAAGAGCCCAATCCTCAAGCAAATGGAGAACAGAGCAAAGAGACATGTCCATGTCTGAGGCAACTGAGGTGATGCTAATTTTCTTGCCAATGAGCTAATGTCTCAGGGTGGTTTTTTTTAGTGTACTTTCTAAAGTGACATTTCAGTTTGGCTTGAAGAAACACTGAGATAATATTTTTTACATTAGATACATTTTCAACCCGAGAACTGGCCCACATTTAAGGAATAAAGATCAAATTTGGTATTGTGCGAGTATCCTCAGCGTGCCTGAAATGAGTCATCCCCGAGCAGACCCAGCGCTAGCTCATCCCTCTCCCTGCTGCCTGCCTAGGACAGCCACTGCCGTGCCCCATGTCGCCAGGAGCACAGGTCCCCCTGCCACCTCGGAGGTGTTTGCCAGAGAGCCCGGGTCCCCAGCGCCTGTGTTGGCAGCAGCGAGGTGCTTCTGGGGGTCTCTGTGAGGAAGGCACATGATCCAGCTCAGGGCTCACCCCAGGACAGAGGCTCTTCCTCGACCACCTCCCACCCCAGCTCAGCATGAGAACCAGGTTCTGATCCCAGCCCCGGGGACCAGCTGTGGGACCATGGTCCTGCTCAGGGCCACTGCACCACAGACACTCCTTCTCCAGGGCCAGATGCTTCCCCAGGGCCCAAATGTTCCTTCTCGGGGCCAAACGCTCCTTTCCTGGAGCTGGATCTTTGTCTCGCCCCAACATTCCTCCTCTGGCCGACTGCCCAGAGCCCAGCAGGAGAGACCACAGCACCTTCCCTGGCTGCAATGCAGTGGGTCACTGCAGGAACCCTGATGTCCTCTCCACCTTGCCACCACAAACTGGGCTTGCCCGGCACCAAGTTCTCTCCATGGCTGTCAGCAACCAGGAACAAATATTCTCTCCTGGATGTGGGGCAGCAATAAGGCACTAGCTCAGCAAAGCCTGCCCTGGAGGGCTGACCTCCAGCTCCCAGCTGCCAGCAGGGATGTATCTGCATGGTGGGACCCTTCCCACACTGTATCTGCATGGTGGGACCCTTCCTGCACCAACGCCGCGCTCCCCAGGAGCTGGGAAGGAGAGACATCCCTGGGGACAGGCTGGGCCGGGTAGCCATTGCTTTCAGCTGGGGGTGCTCAGCTGAGCTCCTGGGTTGTCCAGGTCCTGCCTGATGCATTTCCAGGTGAGATACCTACCGTAGGAAACTCAGAACCTCCAACCACAATCCAAGTGCCACTTGCTCCCCACGGGAGGCTGGTTTGCATCCTGCACCATGAAGGGACAGGGCAGGGAGCCTGGTCTGTGAGGGGCACGTGCATGGGGCAGAGCAGCACTCTGCCCTTGATTCCTGATGCCCCACACGCAATGCTTCTGCCGATTGAGCCCAGCCTGCCTAATATTGCTGCTAAGAATGTACCAGACCGGATCTTTGGCTGAGCTAAATAAATGCAGCTCCCTCCATAGGTCTCAGTGGAGCGACTTTGATTTATGACAGCCAAGATCTGGGCTGGTTCATTCCTCACAGAATTGAAGTTTGGGCTGGGAGGACACTTGAAGGTCAGCCAGGCCAGCCTCCAACCACAGGCAGGGCTGGTCCTGCTTTCTGGTCCTCAGGCACCTGCCAGCGGCACCCGCCAGTGTTACTGCTGCCAGATCCATGTAGGACTGAACTTTGGGCAGCTGTGCCCCTCCTCAGTCCTGTTTCTCTGCAGACATCCAGATCCTCCCCTGCAGCACCAGACCTCTCCGGAGATGCCTGCCTGTCCTCCATCACTCCATCCCACCAGTCCCTCTTGTGGGGGCACAACCGCTCCTGCAGAGGGGCCTGACCCTGCAATCCCACCAAACAATTTCTGGAGCCAGCTGAGAGCTTTAAAATCCAGTTACTCACCTGCTGGGTGGAGGGTTGTCTTCTCCTTCAGTGATACAGATGCCATGGGGTCAGCGCAGGGAAATCTGGGTCTCTCAGACCCTTGGGCAAAGTCCAGCCTAGGGGCTCTGGGTCAGACCCAGGGGCTGCAACTAATGCCTGACATGAGGGGTTGCATCCCACGGGGATGTGCCACTGCCTGTATCTCTGTGGGCAGCCCCGCCAGCCCTGGGACCCTGCCTGTTGCCCCCATCCTCTATGCCGTGGAGCGCCCAGCCCAGCCCCCAGCATTGCCACCCCATCCTGTGCTGCCCTTCACGGCTTGACATGGAAATGCTTGGGGGAAAATCCCCCCCAAGGCTTGTGCCCCATTTCTTGCCGTGCCAATGCTTGTGGGGAGACCTCTTGATCCTGCGCCCGAGCCTTGTCCCCCTCCTGTGCTCTCATCCTACACCATCCCTCCCTTCCCCTATCTCCATCCTTTCCTCGTTGCCCTCCTTCCTCTGCTCAGCCCTCTCCCCTCACCCTCCCACATGACACCGCGAATCCACCCACGGGGCCCCAAACTGGGCACAGCCCTCAGGGCATCATCTCACCAGTCTGCCCAGTGCCAACGGGCAGCTCAGGCCAGCTGACAGACCTGCGCTGGTCTCGGGAAGGGGGCGGGGGGCACCGGCTCACCGACTGCTGCAGTAACAAAAGGGACCTTATAAAGAAACACAGCGGAGCTTATTGGCAGGGCCCCGGCGCTCCAGCACACGCCAGCAGCCACGGTCTGGCAGGGAAGAAGGTTTCACTCCCGGCGCATCCTCCGCCTGGGGCGGGTGCCGGCCCCAAAGGGTCACGGGCCCCCCCGTCCTCCCACGCAGCCGCAGCTCCAGGGCTGAGCTCTCCCTCTAGCGAGGCTCCAGGCATGCTGCCCCTCACTGTGGTATCTGGCCCTTTTCACCAGGCGGTCTGCAGTCCCCGCCTTTGCTGCTGCTTCTCCTGCCTGCCCTTCTTTCTGTCCCACCTCAGGCGATGTCCCCGATTCAGGTCCCGGCAGAGCCTGCCTTGCTCGCCTCTCACGGGGGTGGCACGGGGGACAAGTCACATCCCCTCCCTCCACTGGCACTCCTCAGGGACTGGCATAGCTGTGCCTGGGACCAAGGCTGGCTCCGGAGGAGGGGGGATGGGCAAGGGAAGATGGGCGGCTGGATTTCAGGGGGCTTGCGCCCCCAGCGAGATGCAATTTGTTGTTTACATCCCGTCCTGCCTGT